GTAGATTATTATATACCTCATCGAATACGGGGTGCAAAAATACTAGCAGCCGACATAAAAAGGGTCTTATTTAAGCGCATATCAACCAATGTCCATGAACAGTCTTAAACGTTTGGCGCATATAACGTCTAGAGTATATATAAGGGGTTTGGGTTATACAATTGTTGCTGTTTCCTATTTGCTTTAAATTTGCTGAAACTCACATGAAATGTCGATTATTATATACCTCATCGAATACGGGGTGCAACAATTCTAGAAACCGACATTAAAAGGTCTTATTTGAGCGCATATCAATCAATGTGGCAGAACAAACCTAACCGTATAGCGCATTATTGTATAGTATATCGGTGGGGGGTTTCGCGGGCTTTAATACAGTCGCCGCTATTTCCCCATTTGCCTTAATTTGCTGAAAATCACATGAAATGTAGATTATTATATACCTCATCCAATACGGGGTGCAAAAATTCTAGCAGCTGACACTGAAAAGGTCTTATTTGAGCGCATATCAACCAATGTCCAGAACAAACCTAAACGTTTGGTGCATATAACGTCTAGAGTATATAGAAGGGGGTGGGGTTAATACAATCGTTGCTGATTTCCCATTTGTTTGAAATGTGCTGAAACTCACATGAAATGTAGATTATATATACCTCATCGAATACAGGGTGCAAAAATTCTAGCAGCCGACATTAAAAAGGTCTTATTTAAGCGCATATCAATCAATGTGGCAGAACAAACTAAACGTATAGCGCATAACATGTAGAGTATATCGGTGAGGGGGTTTCGGGCTTTAATACAGTCGCCGCTATTTCCCATTTGCCTTAATTTGCTGAAAATCACATGAAATGTAGATTATCATATACCTCATGTCAATACAGGGTGCAAAAATTCTAGCAACTGACAATAAAAGGTCTTATTTGAGCGCATATCATCAATGTGGCAGAACAAACCTAAAGGTATAGCGCCATAACATGTAGAGTATATCAGTGAGGGGGTTTCGGGCTTTAATACAGTCGCCGCTATTTCCCATTTTGCCTTAATTTTGCTGAAATTACATGAAATGTAGATTATTATATACCTCATCCAATACAGGGTGCAAAAATTCTAGCAGCTGACAATAAAAGGTCTTATTTGAGCGCATATCAACCAATGTCCATAACAACCTAAACGTTTTGGTGCATATAACGTCTAGAGTATATAGAAGGGGGTGGGGGTTAATACAATCGTTGCTGATTTCCCATTTGCTTTAAATGTGCTGAAACTCACATGAAATGTAGATTATGTATAACCTCATCGAATACGGGTTGCAAAAATACTAGAAACTGACATTAAAAAGGTCTTATTTGAGCGCATATCAATCAATGTGGCAGAACAAACCTAAGGTATGCGCATAACATGTAGAGTATATCGGTGAGGGGGTTTCGGGCTTTAATACAGTCGCCGCTATTTCCCCATTTGCCTTAATTTTGCTGAAAATCACATGAAATGTAGATTATTATATAACTCATCCAATACGGGGTGCAAAAATTCTAGCAGCTGACAATAAAAAGGTCTTATTTGAGCGCATATCAACCATGTCCAGAACAAACCTAACGTTTGGTGCATATAACGTCTAGAGTATATAAAAGGGGATGGGGTTAATACATTCGTTGCTGATTTTCCATTTGCCTTAAACGTGCTGAAAATCACATGAAATGTAGATTATTATATACCTCATCGAATACGGGGTGCAAAAATACTAGCAGCCGACATAAAAAAGGTCTTATTTAAGCGCATATCAACCAATGTCCAGACAGTCTTAAACGTTTGGCGCATATAACTTCTAGAGTAAATAGAAGGGGTTGGGGTTAATACAATTGTTGCTGATTTCCTATTTGCTTTAAATGTGCTGAAACTCACATGAAATGTCCGATTATTATATACCTCATCGAATACGGGGTGCAACAATTCTAGAAACCGACATTAAAAGGTCTTATTTGAGCGCATATCAATCAATGTGGCAGAACAAACCTAAACGTATAGCGCATTACATGTAGAGTATATCGGTGAGGGGGTTTCGGGCTTTAATACAGTCGCCGCTATTTCCCATTTGCCTTAATTTTGCTGAAAATCACATGAAATGTAGATTATTATATACCTCATCCAATACGGGTGCAAAAATTCTAGCAGCTGACAATGAAAAGGTCTTATTTGAGCGCATATCAACCATGTCCAGAACAAACCTAAACGTTTGGTGCATAAAACGTCTAGTATATAGAAGGGGGTGGGGTTAATACAATCGTTGCTGATTTCCCATTTTGTGAAGAAAGCAACTGTACGAACATGAATTGCAATTGCTCGACATTTATTTCCGCTTCAAGGCGTTAACATTTAAAATAGGCAATGTCTGCCTGTAATACCAATACACATACATGATGCAAATTGCTATGTACGAACATGAAAACTCAGGAACATAATTCTGCGAAACTCAAAACCAAAATACATGTAATATAATCCTATCTGCAATATCAACTGTGAGAATTAATTTGTCAGAATAATCCTGAGGATCTCTGGTCACGTGATCACCAGAAAGGATAGTAGCTCCTCCCCGGTAGCCCCCCAATTCATGGGGCTCTGAACGTGATCCACCAGCAGGATAGTAACTCCCGCTGATATCCCCCTCTTCTTGGGGTTCCTGTCCCCCTCATCACTCCTAAAACGCGGACGCGTATCCCGGCCTGCTTGGCCAAAGATATTGGCAGTCCCGCGTGTTCAAATTACATTATATAAAATTCAAACCTCTATACCGTAACTAACTTAAACTACCATCCTTGTTCTCTGAATGAATATGTATTCTCTAACCTTGAACACATCTACAAAAACATACATATAACGATAATTACATGTATACTCGTGATTGATCTCTCCAATCACCCCAACCTCCCAACCAAAAACAACACGTCACAATGACCTGTAACTTGAACACACAGGATTAAAATCTCCGTGCGGCCCAGCCTCCCAACCGTAAGACATGTGATAATGGCCTGTAATTAAACACAGGATTTGGTTCTCCATGCAGCCCAACCTCCCATCCGTAAATCATGTGAAAATGACCTGTAGATAAATACAGGATTTAACTGTCCATGCAGCCCAACCTCCCATCCGTAAATCATGTGAAAAAGTCCTGTAGATAACTACAAGATTTAACTGACCGTGCAGCCCAACCTCCCAACCTTAAAACGATGTGTGGCAATGACCTGTGAACAGGATTAACTCCCCGTGCAGCCCAACCTCCCAACCTTAACAGGGTGTCACTAATAAAATGTAATAGACTCAGTTTAAGACTTCAAGACCACCAGAACCTTACTCAAAGTGTTTACACTAACATAGTGCTAAATACACATACATCCTACCCTGGGCACTTCCTGCCCGGCCCTCCAACTAACTGCATGATCAAAGCTAAACAATACACAATAATATTATGCTGCATAACCTCCACGCCCAGTATCTCCATATCTGAACTTTGCCACCTTGTAATGTTAATACTATTCCTGTGCCAAAGTACCTGCCCCATACCTTCCTCCTAACCACCTAACCTTAAGGCAGGCTATAGCCAGTGCAGGCAACATAACCACTGTGACCTCTGCCCTGATATATATCACTCCAACATAACTCCAGCTTAAATCCTTTGTGGTTCTTGACTCGGGACTAAGGCTTGAACTATGTACCAACTTATGGAGAAGGTTATGACTATTTCCTATTTTCAGACATGCCCAATTAAATCCACCTTAATGTACAAGAATTTGCAACTACCTCGCTCCCCAATCTTTGGCCTTGGAGCAGAATGTGTGCATAGAACATGTCCCCTTAACAACAATAATACATCATTGTCTTTAACTGTTACAAACATGTCTGAGTACAAACTCCCACTAACTATTCCTCATTCGTTGTTACACAACCTCGTAACGTGTGAACCCTAAATAGTCACTTGGGAATGGGTGGGGGGGAAACAATCGACTGCCTTGAACGGAAAATGTAGCGAGAATGGCTATTCAAAGCGCGCTCATTTTGCACGCATAACTTTGCCAAATTATTTCCGCACTAGAAAATGTTCACATGCACACCACATGAGTCGGATCTTTACGCGCATGTTTTGATACTTCTGACCCCAAAGTTTGTTGACCTGATTCGAACTCTTGCTTCTCCCAAAATGTGCTGATCAGTTTATGCTGATCACATTATTTTGTGAAGAAAGCAACTGTACGAACATGAATTGCAATTGCTCGACATTTATTTCCGCTTCAAGGCGTTAACATTTAAAATAGGCAATGTCTGCCTGTAATACCAATACACATACATGATGCAAATTGCTATGTACGAACATGAAAACTCAGGAACATAATTCTGCGAAACTCAAAACCAAAATACATGTAATATAATCCTATCTGCAATATCAAACTGTGAGAATTAATTTGTCAGAATAATCCTGAGGATCTCTGGTCACGTGATCACCAGAAAGGATAGTAGCTCCTCCCGGTAGCCCCCCAATTCATGGGGCTCTGAACGTGATCCACCAGCAGGATAGTAACTCCCGCTGATATCCCCCTCTTCTTGGGGTTCCTGTCCCCCTCATCACTCCTAAACGCGGACGCGTATCCCGGCCTGCTTGGCCAAAGATATTGGCAGTCCCGCGTGTTCAAATTACATTATATAAAATTCAAACCTCCACCCAATACCTTTTTTTTTTTTTTTTTTTTTTTGTGATTAATTAATTAATTTATTATTATTGTTTGTTTTTTTAAAACTAGATTCAGCTTCTATACAGATCTCTTGAGATCTCCTACTTTCTCCCCCGGTTGCTGTAGGTATTCATCCTGACCTATTTAACCATACACTCATGATGTCATCATGTGAACTATGCTCATTGCCGTTCACTTCTACACTTGTGTCATGCATTAAAGTTGGGTAACTATACATTTCATGTTGAGGTGTTAATGCATTTGCATTCTAAACTGTTTGGAGCTACTCCTGCTGCGCGAGGAAAGATAGGGGCAAAACCGGCTATTGTGATCGGACTTAAAGATCCGTCGAGCTAGCTACATTTCGTAGTCGGGAAAATTCCCCTATGGCCCACTGGTTCCTGAAACATTTAGTGCGACCAAGTCTTACTGACTCCAGTCCTTGCCAGCAGACTCAGGCTCCCTTATCACTAGACAATTATAATGTAATGCCATGTGACTTCAGATTTTCCAGATTCAGAATCAAAACATTTCCACCTCATAAGATGAACAAAGCCAAATACATTTACATTGACGAATCATACATCACCCTTTTACATGCGCACTGACTGCCTTATCCCCATAGGTAAACAAATTTGTGTCACAGTATATATCTTTTATAGATTACTTATTGAAACAAGCATGACTTGACAGTACAGAGTTATATATTCAATGTATCAGAATCTTCCACGACTGAATTACTTTTCAGTGTGTAATAGTATTTCTCATGCCTCCCGTTACCTGGCTATCATCTCTTATATTTTCACACCCAACCTCATGGAATAACCCAAATATAACTCAATTCAACTAATTGACTTTTGTCGCTCACTTTAGGTTTACATAGAATACTATTGACATTAGGCTGAATCTGTTCAGAGAAGGCCAGTGTCCTTGGCTGCAGATTCGAATTTATCGATGAGCATGTCCGAGCCCACATCTGAGAGATGAATTCCATCCCTATGGAACAGATTGTGCTCTTTGGTATCTATGTTGTGCACTATCATTGATGTGTTCACCATCTGGGAGATTCTCCTCTTTGCGAATTTGTTAAGTGACTTCCGCACACCATCCATTGTCTCTTGTGATGTTGGGCCTGGTCTGCTACCGTAGTAAAACAATCTTGGAAGAATACCAGACCAGGCTATGTGGGTTCCTGGCATTCTTGCTCGTAGAGTTTGAATTGCTGTATCGATTGCGATTCTGCAACGGCATGCATCTCTCTGACCCAAGTCGTTTGTTCCCAGGTGAACGATCGCCAGTGCAGGTGGGGCGTTGTAATTCAGCCTATTTGTGACCATTCGGGGGAAGTCATGGAGAGTAGCACCTCCTTGACCATGCCACTGTACTGCACCCTTCTCTGCTCCCAAGTGCAGGCGGTTCTGTGCAGTGGCTCGCTCTTTGGCCCTTCTTACGATACTGTCCCCCACTATCCAGACTCGGTTGCGTACTCGTCCTGAAATAAAATAGTTAAACTCCCGAAAGTAACATGTTCATATATTTGGGAAGAACATATAAAATTTTCTTGTGAGCTTTATTTTCATAATTGTAATAACTCCCTAGTACTTAGTATGGAGTAACTGTAACTTATCTTATATAGCGCAAATAAACTTCACTGCGCCACCTACCCATCTTCCTAATTTGTTCTGGTGGCACACCATTCAAAGCAGCTGTGGTAGCTGCCCCAATTCGGAAAGAGTGAGTCCCATACCGACTAACATTCGCCCCAATTTGCTGAATGTTCTTTTTCAGGACTGCACTGAACTGGTACCTTGTAAGGGGGGAGCCATTCTCATGACAGAATAGTAGACCCTCTACCTGTGGCCTTGCTTGTAAATATGATTTCATGGCCTGTACTGGGCATACCCCCTCTACCCGGTTTGCATTAATCCTCAAAGTGGTAGATTTCCCATATTGGTCTGTCTTAGAAAATCGTATTTGTAACAGTAAAGTTTCAGGAATGCCTCGGCCTAATTGTACATCTGTGATATTCAACGCCTTCCTTGTATCATCACCCTTCCCTCGGATGGTGAACTCCCCTATTCTCAGGAAACCAAAGAATGCTAGTAAGTACGCTGCCTTGAACATGATTGCTTCGTATCGTGAAAAACATACATATGCTAGGTTTGGCAACAGTTGTCGCATTAGCTCCCATGTGATGGGTCTTCTAGTATCTACACAACATTTGTCTCTTCTACTACCTTCTTGCATTTTCCTAATCAAAAAATGTTTTGTGGGATCTGCCCAACCATGCATGTTATGTAAATATGCTAGGGCTGCAACATGCACTGTGATTGTCGAGGGTGCTTTCCCACTGATAGAAAGTTGGGCAATAAATGCCATGACCTGTTTCACTGATGCCGGCCAAGAAGGATTCAACTGGTGATTCAACCGAAATTCCTGAAAAGAATCCACTGCCCTCTGATACACGCGCTGAGATCCTTCCCCTAGAGATTGTCCCAACAGCCTCTGTGTTTCTTTTGCTAGGTCTGTAATATTCCAGGCGGTATTAGTGAGGCCCTTTCTTCCGCCAACGGCGCCAGCTTGCGAAATCGGTACATCTGGAATCGGGAAAGGGAGTCCGCAATACCATTATCATATGTGTGTACATGAACTGCCTTAAACAAGATATTTTGCCTCAGACACACCAAGACGAACGATCTCACCAAAGCCATGATTTTTGTACACGATGATGTCTGTTTGTTTATTGCATACATCACTGACATGTTGTCTGTGTACACGACAACTTTCTTGTTCTTTAGCTCATCTCCCCATATTGACACTGCAAGTACAATAGGTACCATCTCTTTCCATGCTATGGAAGTTCCAGTGATTATTTCCCGTGAAGACCATTTCCCATTGAACCATTTGCCTCCGAAGTAGCCGCCAAAGCCTATTGCTCCACTTGCATCTGTGTAGAGGCTCATTTCTCTACTATTTACCCACCTTTCCTGTGTAATTACTGTTACGCCATTATAATACTCTATGAACTCCAGCCATGCTCTCAAGTCTAGCTGAGCACCCTCCGAAATGGACAGTGGCTTAGAACTAGTCTTCTCTCCCTTTATTAGGTCTATCAACCGGCGTAAGAATGCCCTTCCTGGTCGCACAGCCCGACTAATAAAGTTCAGTGACCCAATGACTGATTGGATCTCCTTAACTGTTACATATTTGTGTGACAACACCTTCTTAATCTTGCGCCTAACCTCAGTAAGCTTATCATGTGGAACTCGAACCTGCATTAACACAGAGTCAAGTTCTAACCCGAGAAATGTCAATCTTTTGGTAGGCCCCTCGGATTTCTCTGCCGCTAATGGAACCCCTAACTCCTCACAGATTCCTTTGAGAACTTGTACCATCTCGAGGCATGACACGCCCCCGTGCTCTATTGAACTAACACACAAAAAGTCATCAACATAGTGTATAATCCCGTTTGAGCCACTTCGCTCCCGAACACAATATTCTATGAATGTGGAAAAGGTCTCGAAATACGCTGGAGCACATCTGACCCCCATGGGCAAGCATTTGTCGAGATAATATTTCCCCTCAAATTTGACCCCTAACACCTCAAAATCTTTCGGGTGCATAGGCAACAATCGAAAGGCGGACTTGATATCCTCCTTAGCCAAGTCGGCTCCCATTCCAGCCTCGGCGACCATCTCAACCGCTGTATCAAATCTAGTATATTCCACTTTACAATGCTCATCTGCAATAAAATCATTCACAGAGTATCCAGGCGGGTATGATAAATGATTGATTAATCGATAATCCCCCGGGGATTTCTTTGGCACCAGGCCAATTGGGTTAGTTCTCAAATTTTTTAGTGGCCTGGACTCAAAGGGACCTATGTATCGCCCTAGCTTAATCTCCTTCCGTATCTTCTCTCGTGTAATGTCCTTGTTATTTTCTGCTGATTTTAGGTTGGGTAAGTCTACTGGCATGCGAGGGCCTGTATAATTCAAACAAAATCCTTCTGTGAAACCACTTTCCAAAAACCTGGCTGCTCGCTCATTTGGGTAGCTTTTTAACAATTGTTGTAGGCTCTTTATTTTAATGGGTGACTTCCCCAAGGATATAACCTGTCCTGTAATCTGTACATCTCTACTGTTACTGTGTATTTCACCTTCAAGCTTGTCCTGATTTCTATTTTTTGTGTGTTCTATCTGTCTCCTAGGAATTGCCTTTTCCTTACTGAGCTTTGGGTTTGGGGGCTTTTGAGTTGGATTGATTGTTTGGGCAGAAAACCTTGCCGTGGCCACTTGCTCCACACAGGGAACACTTGTGCGCGTACCTACAATCTTTCCGGCTACAAGCCCCTGACCTGAAGTTGAATTCGTGACAGATTCCACTGCGAAAATTGGGTGACCTGGGGGGCACAAACCTACCCTTGCCCTGTGTTTGGCTAGTGCTAGGGTTATATGTTCGCTTCCATTCCCTCCTGTTGGACCATGGGGCCGATCGCCCGAGTGGACGGTCTTGGCCACGAACTCCCCGAGGAGGTCCCCCTCCCACTACATGAAGGAGCCACAATTCTCCATCTATACCTGCCCAAGATCCACCTTTCTTGTGGTAGCGGTGACGAAATTCGATATCATAATCTCTCCACCCATACCCATAATAGCGCGAAGCAGCAGATCGAATAAGGTGGCAGTATTTCAGTAAGTCTTGTGCGCAATTCAAATTTGCTTCCAAAACAATGCTAGCATACACAAGAAATGCATTAGTCCACAACTCTATGGTTGCAATCTTATTCTTGGATGTCGCGCTGACAGGTTTCAATACCAATCTCCCGTCTTCCTGAGTCATTGCCAAATTCGTCCTTTGTTCGTCTCTAGCTTCCCACTGTGTGAGTGCTGACACCTCTTGGGCATTCACTAACACATTAAAATCCACATACTCGCCTTTCCATATTTTCTCCCTAATGTTATTGGGAATGGCCGAGCCTAGTCTATCTCCAACTGGCCGTAGTGGGGATTGGGGCGGGGAGTCATTTACTGCGAACCCGGACCTATGCTCGGTATGTGGTACCGATGAATTACCGATACCTGTGTAGCTAGGTCTGCTGTTATTATCATACTGACTTCCGATTGGCCTAGATCTATATTGAATGCCTCTTGAGACATGCCCTTGATTCCCCGACTCCCAGTCAACATGGGGCACGATTGTAGGGAACGAAGTTAAAAGTGGGTTCGCCCCTGTTATGTGACTATTGTCTGCCCCTCTGTGTGGCCTGGGGCTTGTCGTACCGACCCCAGCACTAATTGCTGTGCAATTAGCCATAGATCTAACTTCGGTTGAAGTAGCCTTAGTACCAGTGGGTAGATCAAGATCTAGATCTATCCGTACCTCACCTGTTGACTGTAACTGCAACTGTGATCCCGGCTGTGATGGTTGGGTATTCAGGGCTGCTGCTGGTGGTGGTGGGGTGCTCGAAATTGCTGGTGGGATGCCTGCTGCCGGTAATGCCGAGATCGCTTCAGGTAGGCCTACTCCGCTGTCTACTGTTAGCGGCCGAGACTGCACTGCCCGTGCCCTCTCTGTGCTGCTTGCCTGACGACTGCGCCTCGCCCGTCCGTTGATGCTTGTGGCTGAGCAACTGCTGGCCGGAGTTTGCGCTGAATTGTTAGTTTTCTTGCTAATTGAGCTGGCTCTAGTGCCCTTCCGACTCTTTGCAGCTGTTCTTTGTCTTTTCTGCTGGGCAGTAGCACCGCCATTGGCGCACTCATTAGTCTTTCTCTTTCCCATTTTTTTTTAATTT